TGCTGGGGATTCTTGCGGTAGTCTCCAACTGACCCCCCGCCTGCGTTCTTCCCCATAATACCCATTTTCGATTGTGCACCCTAAAATCTGATCCCACTACGAGCCTGGGAGGCGTAAGTGCTTTTGATCTGAGTCCGTTGAGTGAGGGTGGTGAGGACTTCAGGGTTTGGGGAGCGGCCAGGCCTGGGCTGGACACCAGCGGCCCAGCGAGTAGGTGACCTTGGTGCCCAGGCAGGGCGACAGGAAGCTCTGACAGACACGTGCCGTCACACCGTGGGCAGTGCGGAGGGGTACGCTGAGCGCCTGCAGAGGCGGCCAGAGAAACCTGCTGAGAACCACGGGACGCAGGAACCGTGGGACGCCAGGTGCTCCACAGCCATGACTGTTCATTTCCCTTTCACGTAAAGGAGTAAACCCGGGAACGGCTCAGGGCCGCGGCGTTCTCCACCAGAGACGCCCTGTTCTCCTGGTCCCCGCCTTCTCTACTTCTGTGTGTGTTCTCAGTCCATCCGTTCCCTTCCACGTCCCTTTGCCTCGCAGGCCGGGGCAGCTGGCGCCCAACATGGGATGAATAAATGAACAAGGGCCTGAGGACAGAGGAACTACGGAGGACAAGACACGTGGACACCCCCAAAAAAGCCGGGGCCCAGGAATTGAAAGGAGTCAGGTGTAAAACATGGGGACAAAGTTGTCTAAAGACAGAGACATGTATGTTCAAAAGCTGCTTCATACTGTTTCCCTCGGACAGGATGACACATCGCCCTAATGACTGACTGCTGTAGTCTGCCCGGGGTGCCACATGGGCCTTAGCTGGGATAGAGACTGCTGCAATTGATTGAGGATGTCTGTCCTGGGCATGGGTATTGGGGAGTGGTGACGTGAGTACCGTGGTCTGCATTCTCTATCCCAGAGGAAGGATAGAAGAGTTGTGTGATGTTGTTGATCTCTTTAAAGGGTCTGCAGTCCAAGTTATCCCACAGTTGTTGGAGCTACAATAATTTCAACACCACATAAGTAATGTGGAAATGTAATATCCAGATCACAAAAACTTTAAGGCCAAAGAGAAAGGACATTTGATTTCCAGGAGGGCAAACAGGCTGGAGCTTGTGATTTTGATCCTGAAACAAGTGCTCGGGCTCCCGTGAAAGAGGCCTGGACACTGAAAGAAGCTTTCGAGTCTGGAGCTTAGTGTGCCTTAACGAAGGCAGCCTTTTCAGTAAAATAGAATGTTCCCGTTCATTTTCTTTTTGTCCCAAATGAACTTACCAGTAATAGAACAAGAAGCAGAAGTTGGGGAGTGTCACTGTGAACTGGAGCCACCTCCAGTGAGGCAGTGCATGGGCCACCCCGGCCAGCACCAGGAGCCCAACGGTGAAGGCGGCTTGGTAAAAGATCCCTACAGTCCTCCGGTAGCCCAGCCCGACATACTCCGTAACTGCAGAGAGAATGCAGGTGTCAACGCCACTGAGTACAGCAGTGAGCTGGCTGAGGCATCAAGACCGCCGACCTCAAAAATACAGTCCACGTTCTAGAATTCTCTGTACAGGTATCTGGACAACTTAAAATGTTCTTTTCCTAAAGGATGATTTTATTTATTTATTTATTATTGTTATTCAATTTGACCAGAGAGAGACAGAGAGAGAGAGAAAGTCACTAGGTCTGGGATTCAAACCACAGTCAGCCGTGTGGGGAGTCCAACACCTTAACCACCATGCCACCGACCAGCCCTGACAATTTTAAGTATTCTTCAGGGCTTATTTTATAATTATTGCTGTTCAAAGAGTTAATATGAATTTTATCACCCCCCATTACATGAGATGACAGGCCTGCTGACATAAGCAAAAGAATTTTACTTACAAATTAATTTCAAAGACATAGGCAATTCTATTTCAGATAGAAACAACATTTTGACTTAGAATAATGAGGCAATGATAGCTCAAGCCCTCCGTGAATGAATCAAGCATTGACTTTAGCTTGTAGGTGGCTTCTATATAAACGAACCTCCGACTGTATGGGTTAAGCATTTTCTTTGCTGTCCTGTTTGTGTAAGTGGCTTGGAAACCCGGCAGAGGGCTGGACTCTGCTAGTGCTGGCCCGCAAGAACTGGTTCTTAAAATTGCAGGAACTTTGCCCGCTTGTCGTTAAACCCATTGGTATCTCAAAATCAGCCATCGTGGGAGTATTTACACCTTGGAAATGGGAAAATGCAGGAAAGCAGGGCTGTCCATTCTTCGAGAGCCAATTTCCCAGTGTGCCACTGCACCAGGCGCGGCCGTCGGCTTTGTCCCATCCCTAGGCTACACTGCTACGGAGAGGTGAGCTCCACGTAGTGCAATTAGGGGGTGCTTTTGTATTACTCCTCCGCAAGCCATGGCTTTTGTTTTAAATGTTTGGCAAACATATTAAAGACTTCAGTTATTGATAAAACAAATAGAAATGCAAAATATTTGTATAAATTGCTGTAAATTATCAACAAAGTCTTTAAAAAATAGAGTTAAATAGAATGATGTAAGTGCTGAAATTAGAAATGTCCGTTTTTCCACGTGGTCGCACCGAGAAGTTTAGGAGAGGTGGCTCAGATGTAAATGTATGCAGGGCACCCACATATGTACGGGGCACGTGTGCTATAGGGCGCGTGTGCTTGCCAGAGAAGGTCAGAGAGAGATGCAGAGACAGGGAAAGTGAGAAATCACCCCTCTGCCCAGGGGGTGGCCGTGCTGCAATCCCTTCTCCTCCATTCTCCTTTCAGGACCCTGGCCACACATACCTGCTCGGTGTGTCTGTCAGGCCGACAGGTCTGGCCCTTGGCACGTGGGATCCAGCGGCCCCACATCATGCCCCCTGCTGGCCCTACACATTTTATGCATTACGTATTGCAGTAACCTAATGACTAATTGAACAGCTGCACGTGGATCCCTTTGTTGGCGTAACACTTCTTAGGCGCCCACCGCGGCAGGGCTCGTGTTAAGCACCTCTTCATCTCATGAGATTCTCCAAGTTAACGTCCTCAAGTAAAACGGTAGGCACGTGTATTCTCTCCTGGATGATGAGAGCTTTGTTACTTATTTCAAAGTATCCACTTCCCTTTCTATAAATGCTATTGGAATGTGGCCAAAGGGAAAGGAATGATAAGATGAGTTCCAAGATCTAATTTTGGTCTCAGTTTTTCTCAGTATTGCTTTAAAGATGCTATGTTAGAACCCAAACATGCTGGCTGGCCCTGTTGCCTAGTGGTTAAGGAAGCCAGACCCGCATAGCCAACCGGGACTTGAATCCTGACCCCAGCAGCTTGGGAAACATGCCGGATGCATGTACATGTGTGCCCCCAGCCCCAAAAGAAGGGGGAGCTGGGGGAGAAAAGAGGACTATGTAGCCACGTCCCATGGGGCTGCTTTCTCTCTCCCTCCTCTTTGTCTCTGTCTCTGTCTGGCAAGCACACACGCCCTCTGGCAATTAGAAGAATCATTACATCTGCTACACCCTATGGAGCTTACCCAGAACTGTGGCTACAATGAGCAGGGTGTAAATTACATTCTGGACCTACAGAGGGCTTGCTGGAGTAACCCAGGTTGACCAAAGGACTTGTATTCTCAGCTTCCTTATATTTAAATTGAGAACGGTTATGGTTTACTAGACTGTAGAAACACAACGCAGAAAAGTCCTTTATGAGAGCACTTTTAGACATTACCCACCTGGGCCCCAAATTCCGTTTCATCTCTATTTTCTCCCTTTTTATTGAGAGGTTTTTGCTATAGGGTGTGTGCACTCGCCAGACAGACAGAGAGAGACATAGAGACAGAAAGCGAGAAATCACCCCCCAGGGGGGATGGCCACGCCACAATCCCTTCTCCATTTTCCTCTCGGGATCTTGGGCATGCATGAGCACGCACCTGGCGTGAGTTTAAGCCACCGGGTCTGGGACTCGAACTGCGGTCGACTACGTGGGAGTCCAGCAACATAGCCATTACGCTAACTGCTGGTCCCTCATCTCTATTTTCTTTATAGAGGTATCAAGTTAGGAGGGAGCAAACCAATGCAGACTCCTTGGGACAGCGTGCGGCAAACCGCCTTCAGCAGCATGCATCTGCTGACAAGTCGTGGCCGGGAAGTTTCGCCATTTCTCTGCCTAAGCCCCAAGGGCACAGAAGGGTTACAGGAGAATCTGGGTGGCACTATGCTCACCCCTGTTTTTGCCTTCATTGCTTTCTATACAGGAAGAATGCAAATGGAGTGGACCGAAAAGACTTTAGAAATTCTTCTCAGGCCAGTAGGTGGCATGGTGGTTAAGGGCTTTGGACTCGCACATGGCTGACCATGGTTCAAGTCCCGGACCTGATGGCTTGCTTTCTCACTTTCCCTCTTTCTCTTTCGCTTTCTCTCACTCTGTCCCTCTCTGGTCAAATTAAAATAAATAAAATTAAGTAAAGTAATTCTTTAAAAAAAGAGAAATTCTTCTTATTCAGAAAAAATAAAATCTCAACACTATGTGGAAGCTGAGCCCATGCTCCACGCAGTCACCCCACCTGACCGTGGTGGCAGCGACGTCCCTTGGTCCCCACAGCTGTGACCCCAGCGTCCTTACTCAGGGTGTAGCCGATTGTCCAGCCCGCTTTGCTGACCAGCCCTTGGATCATGCGGAAAGTCAACACCCACGCGTATGTGGGGGAGACGGCCATGAGCATCCCGGAGGTGGCGTTTATGAGGATCGTAATCAGGAGGCAGAGCTTACGGCCAAACCTGCAGAGAGAGACACAGAGGGACTGGGTTACATTCAATCCACGCAAGTTACGGAAATCTAAACAAATGAGAGGCTACGTCAGGGGGGCAGGAACTGGAGTCCACATCCACCTGGCTTCAGTTCTGTCCAGAACTGTCCCTCAGCATACTACGCACACGATTAAAGTGCAACGAACCCCACTTACTCCAGGGCTAAGGTCCCACTTGGTGGCAGGTCTACAGAGAGGGGTCATTCTTCCAGGCCACCCGAAGTGGCTGCCCTGCGGGCCTGTCTAGGTCTGACCTCATCATCTGAGCTGGGCCTTTGCACTGAGAGTCTCAACCAACTGCCCACTCAAGAGAGCTTTTGCCTTGGAAGGACCAATGGTCAGCGTTCAGCGCACTCCTGCATCCATCATGAGTGCTCCTGGGTGCCCTGATCTTTGCGTGCCTGCATGGAAGCCACACGTGTTGCCAGTCCATAGGGCGCTGGCTAGGGAGCGCCCAGGGAGGATGGCTTCCATCAGCTGAGGGACATGGAGAGCTGTCCTTGTATATAGAAACGAGGGGCAACTGGCAGCCTGAGGCCGATCGTGGCCTCTGTCACACTGGGCACGTCGTTCAGGCTCACTCAGTTTCTTCATCTGGAAAGGATCTAGCTCACCTGTCTGAAAGAGGCTTAAGTGAGATATTAGTGACACATTTAAGGAGCTTGGCACGGCGCTGCTCCCTCCCTCTCTTCCTCTCTTCCTCCTCTTGCCCAGCTGGCTCTCAGAGTGGGCTTGGGGCCAGGACACTTTATTATTCTGTTATTATTTAGAAAAGGCCCTTGTGACTTCTTTTTCATTTTTTCTAAGTTTGTTTATTTCCTCCAAGAGAGAGAGAGAGAGAGAGAGAGAGAGAGAGAGAGAGGCATTCCCAACGCAGCCCCAGCCAGCCTGGGACACAGACACAGAACTGCAATCCCAGCATGTGCTGCGAGGCCTCAGGTAGCAAACCGAGTCCTGCCCCATGTGGGGCCAGCTGTGTTGCTGCTGTGCCGCCGAGGGCCCGCAACTCTTCCTGTCACCTTTTCATTAGGTCCCCCTGATTTGTTATAAAAGACACCCTAATCTGCTGTTAGTAAGTATTTTAAAAGTTCCTCATAGGAAATGATGTTTGAGGACCAGCCCACAATAGTATTCCATACGGCTGACGGCACAGTTCGAGTCCTGAATCCAGCTGAATCCAGAAACAGGCCTGGTGTGTGTGTGCCCAAATCCCCAAAGAAGGGAGACAGAGGAGGAGGGCTGCGGTGTGACCATGCCCCAGGGGGTGCTCACTCGCTTTCCCTCCCTTTTATTTATCTGTTTACCTATCTCAGTTTGGATGGGGACTTATTGTCACTAGGCCTGCACATTCTAGGGATGACTGGACATTGCTTAATTAATGCTGTTGTTGGGGACCAGCAGTTAGCGTAATGGCTATGTCGCTGGACTCCCACGTAGTCGACCGTGGTTCGCGTCCCGGACCCGGTGACTTAAAACTCATGCCGGGCGCGTGTGCGTACGTGCCCAAGATCCCTAGAGGAAAATGGAGGAGAAGGGATTGCGGCGTGACCATCCCCCCTGGGGGGTGATTTCTCGCTTTCTGTCTCTCTGTCTCTCTCTGTCTGTCTGGCGAGCGCACGCGCCCTACAGTGAAAATCTCTCCAAAAACAAACAAACAAACAAAAATATAATGTTGTTGTTATTCAATAACTGTATCTACTGAGTGTAGCAAATACTAATTGTTTCAAAATAATCTGTTAATATTTATTTATTACTATTTATTTGTGGACACTAATCCATAAAACATGAAGTGTACGGATCAAGCAGTCTTGTTAGTAATGAACGTAAATGACTAAACCTCTTAAATGTCTTAGAGCCCTGTCCGACCACGTCAGCCCTTACTTCTCAGCAATGGCTGCCCGCTGTAGACGTGCCCCCCCTTGGCCTGGCATTCAAAGCTTCCAAGGTCACATCTTGACTTCTTTTATAACCTGAGTTCCCCCTCCTCACATTCTCCTACCCAAACTCTTTCCTTTGTCCTCCAAGAGTGTATAACCTATAAACATTTGCTCAAGTGACAATTCTCCCCCTTCAGAAGCGGATTCAGGCACGAAACACCACAGTGATGGACAAAAAACCTTTGGAAGATGAGGGAGTATTCACCATCTGAGATCAGACCAAGAAAACCAAATCCGTGATGCTGAGAATCCTCACTGGGGAACAGGGTCCTGACCCTCATCAAGCTAGCTTTAAAAACAGAAGAGATGTTGGGACAGCGATGCGAGATTTTCTTTTTCCAAAGAGCCACGTAAGTGGATGAAGGAAAAAAGGGGTAGGAGAGGAGGACGCCAGGACCGATGCGTCCACTGGCCCCCAGCTGCTTCCTCGCCCCTCGGGTAGCCCTGGAGTAGCAGGGGTGTAGAGACGGTCCAGCAGCACATGGGCGCTGGCCAGAAATGCAGAATCTCAGGCTCCCCATGACCTGCTGGGATTGGAATTTTGACGAAAGCCCGCTCTTAACATTCGAGAAGCAGCATTTTAATTTCACTGAGCGCTCTGTAGCCACACCTGACGATGAATCCAATCTGTTTTTGAAGGCGGTTGTGATTCTAGATGACGAATGACAAGTGAGGATGTGGGGCCAGCGGGTGGTGTGGTGGTTACAGCACTGGACTCCCACATGGTGCTGGTTATGGTGCTGGCCAATGTGGTTCAAGTCCCAGACCCAGTGGCTTGAAAACCACGCTGGGCAAATGTGTGTGTGTGCCCAAAGTCCCAGGAGGGGAATGGAGGAGAAGGGATTGTGGCATGGCCTTCCCCCTGGGGGGGATTTTCTCATTTTCCCTCTCCCCGTCTCTCTCTGGCAAGTGCATGTGCCCTATGGCAAAACAAACAACAACCACAACAAAACCGAAAAGCAAACGAGAACGCTCCCTAATGCGCCCAGCGGGCAGTAGTCAGCAGAGGACTGGTTTCGGAAGACGCCTGTGGTTGGGTACGTTGACTGCAGCCCCTGGGACTGCAGCTCTGCTCTGCTCTGTCCCTTGGGGTGCTGCCTCCCCAGAGCTCAGTATTAGACTTGCAGAAAATTTGCAAGCTGGTATTAAACAGTCATTATTGGAAATTAGGTGTAGACGCAAGTTAAAAAGCTTTATTAAAATGAGTTTGTCATAAATATACCCCCAAAATTGTATCCTAATTATCTTACTCTATTTGACTGTCTGTACTCATGAGGGTTTCTGTGTCCTGTGGTGTGCTCATAAGAAAATAGACAAGCAAGGGTTAAAAGGAGGGCCCGACAGGAGCCCTACTTAGGTTCATAAAAGGACCCAGGATAAAGACCCTGAGATAAGCTTTTACAACAGGGAAAACAGACATTCAGCCCCCTCTGGTGCCAGCAAACAAACTTGTTCAAATTAATAAGGACCCAGGATAAAGACCCCGAGATAAACTTTTACAACAGGGAGAATATATTCCAGGTCCCCTTCTGGGGCGACAAACAAACTCACTCAAATTAATAAGGACCCAGGATAAAGACCCCGAGATAAACTTTTACAACAGGCAAACAGACTTTCTGGAACCCCCTCTGGCGCCACCTCGGAGGACTGCCTGGGGCTCATAGATGGTCTGCATTCCTGAAAAACAACCAGGTCCCTAACCCCCAATCCTGACCCAGTTCACAGTTTACCTTACCCCGCCCCCAGAGTGATCCCATAAGAGAGACCCTCTCCAGACTAGAACCTGCAATCCTGCTCAGGTCTTGCCTGGGTATTCTCACCCAGGTGCTAATAAGCTTAACTCTGGCTCATGCTCCAGTTTCAGTCTCCTGTAAGTTCATTTACCGCCCATCCAACCACCAGCCCCATTGCCCCACCGCACCCCTGCAGTCCTGTGCCTGTGGGCGGAAATGCTACAGGAGATGGGAGTTTCCAGCCAACTCTGTCCAGCGACCTCATTTTGGTGGCTTGAAATGGAACACGGTGGGAGTGTTTACACTGGAAATCAGAAGATGCTACAAACTCGGCTTTTTCCCCAGACAGCCAGTTGTTAAACATTTGCAAGCATGCCACGAAAACAGCACTCAAAATGACAGCTCTTCAGAGTAAAACACCCGGCATTGGTGAAGGGTCATTTTCTGGGTCAGGTAACACTCAGAGTCACCATGTAGGAGGTCATGGGTGAAGGAGTGAATTAGATGTCTTGCAGAAGATGTACTTTAAAACTCTGTGACTGCATTAAATCTCCCTCCCTCCCTTCCTTCTCTTTTAATTTGTAAAGCTGACACTCGAAAAGCCAACTTGGTGTAAGACTCAGCGTTTTCCCTCCCTCCTTCTTTCCTTCCTTCCTTCCTTCCTTCCTTCCTTCCTTCCTTCCTTCCTTCCTTCCTTCCTTCCTTCCTTCCTTCCTTCCTTCCTTCCTTCCTTCCTTCCTTCCTTCCTTCCTTCCTTCCTTCCTTCCTTCCTTCCTTCCTTCCTTCCTTCCTTCCTTCCTTCCTTCCTTCCTTCCTTCCTTCCTTCCTTCCTTCCTTCCTTCCTTCCTTCCTTCCTTCCTTCCTTCCTTCCTTCCTTCCTTCCTTCCTTCCTTCCTTCCTTCCTTCCTTCCTTCCTTCCTTCCTTCCTTCCTTCCTTCCTTCCTTCCTTCCTTCCTTCCTTCCTTCCTTCCTTCCTTCCTTCCTTCCTTTCTTTCTTTCTTTCTTTCTTTCTTTCTTTTTCTTTCTTTCTCTCCCTCTCTCTTCCTTCCTTCCTACCTACCTTCCTTCCTCCCTCCCTTCCTTCTTTCCTTTTTCTTTCTTCTCTTTCTTTCCTTTAATTCTTTCTTTCTTTTCTTTCTTCTGTTCTTTCTTTCTTTCTTCTTTTTTTATTTTTATTTTAATTTATTTTTTATAAATAAAGCGTGCTTATTTGTTCTATGAAAGGGTGCGAGAGACAGTTACCTCACAGGGTCTTCGCCCTGTGACCCACCCCATGCCGCTGGCCAGAGGCAGAGGCAGCTGTCGTGCACAGGGAGACCGCAGGACATGAGCCAGGGACCCTCCCACGTGGCCTCAGCCTCAGCGCACGGCATCATACTCCACAGCCGGGGCTGGCCAAGGCTTGGCATTCTCACAACCTTTTCACAATGCCCTCCTGGTTTTCTTCTAAAATCCCAACCAGCTGTGGGGGTATATTTTAAAAACTCTGTGTAGAAGACAATGTGCTTTAATTTTGGTTTGATCTGTGGCTAAAATAGGTTTCCATGAGAATCTTGGGCCAATGCATAAAATGTGAAAATTGTACGTATTGGTATGCACAAAATGAATTGTGCTTCTTTCTTTTCGGCCCCTGTGGTGGACGTCACACTGCTCTGACCACCATTCGCACCTTCCATGCATGCACACATGGGACAGAAGGAACAGCCGCCAGCAAAACTGGGCAATTTCAGGAAAGGGATAGAGGCGTGCAGCCGTGGGGAGAGCACCGAGTAGTTACCGAGAGGGCTCAGCAGCAGGAGCAGGCCGAGGCCGTCTAAGAAGGTGGATAATTTACCAGGCTCCTACCTCAGGAATGCACTGGCACTGGGACATTGTAACCAACTGTCTCTCCGAGGGGCTGAGAATGATTAACCCCGTGTGAGGCGTGTGAGGCGCAGACTCCTGTCGCTCACCTCCTTCCAGCTGGCTGAGTGTTCTGTCTCCACCTGAGAGCACAGGAGGGTGCCGAGTGGGCATGAGGGGCTGGCTTGACCCGAAGCCGCCCACTGGACCCAGACCAGACTTTGGACCTCCCTTGTTAATGTGTCTTTTTGACTTAATGGGCCACCTCCGAACAACATCCTTCATTCTGTGGCAATGAAAATAAAAATGGATGGCCTTGTTTCACCTCACAAACCCCCCACAGAAAGCCCCAGGAGCCTCACCAAGAAGCTGAGCAGACAGCTGTAACCTGGTGTGAGGACGGGGCTGCCAGCTGGCCCAGAGCCTTCCCCCTCCTGCTGCCAGGTGGGCCCGGGTCCCTGCCCGGCGCAGAGGCCCTGCATGTGGGTGCAAGCATGTGGTGGTGGGGGGAGGGGGGAGTGATAGGAGAAGCCATTGTTAGTAATCCTTAAGACATTTTCAAGTCTTTCCCCTCCCCCATAAGGCACATGCCCTAGCTAAAGAGACAGAGAAAGGGAAAGGAATCACCCCCCAGCAAGGATGACCCCCTGCAAGTACTTCTCTTCTATCCTCTCCTTAGGATTTTGGCATGCACGCATGTGTTTCCAACATGATTTTCAAGCCGCCAGGTCAGGGACTCAAACTGCAGTCAGTCAGGTGGGAATATAGCATCTTATCCACCATGCCACCTGCTGGCCCCTACATTTGCACGTTTTAAGGCGGCCTGACAATACAACATAAGTAGAAAACTATTCTACTTACATTTGCTATTATACTCACAGGATTGGGTTTATATCACAGATAGAGATGGGGGCAATGAGCATTTTTACGTTACCATCTATTTCAGAGTTAGATACCTATGTATGTACATTTTAAAGTAAATTTAAATATACATCATTGTTTTGCATTTATATTTTACAGAGAATTATGGTTATAGATCACTATGTGAGTAGGTAACTAATGATTAAAGAGAATAATACTGTCTAAAATGTTAAGCACAGGCCCAGTCATGGTGGCGCAGGAGGTAGGCCACTGCCGCGCAATATCAAAGCCACATGGGAGGGCCAGGTTCAGATCCTGGGTCTCCCTGCACCCGTCAGCTCCACTCACATGATCCCGGCTGGCTGGGAGGCTGGGGGAACTGCAGGCTGGCAAGACCCCGTCGAGGGTTCTCTTTCTCTCAAAAAGAAATAAGCTTTGAAGAAAAAAATGGCGAGCCCCATCTCCCACACAGCACACTCAATAATCAGTCGGCATGGTGACTAGTACGTTTGTCCTGAGGGCCAGTCACACAGTGCGTCCCAAGCAGAAAGCAAGTTTCCTGATGCTCTCCCCTTCAGGACTCCAAAATGTCTCTAACTGCTCATCAACAGAGCAAAATGCACGCTTTCTCTTTACTCATGTAAGTGTGTGCACATGTGCACGCACACACACACACAAGGGCAGGCGGGAGAGAGGGGGGTCCCCTCCACGGGGTTGGTCATAGCGACCCCCTCCCTCTGACTCTCCAGCCCACCAAATCTGAGGCCGCAGGCCAATCAGGCTGGGGATTTTTGTCATGTGGGATCCAGATCCTCTTGAGCGGTGCATTGCCGCTGGCCTGCGGAGCTGGTCAATCAGAGATGGGGGTCGTAAGGAACTTCCGGCACGGTGAACCGGGGAGCGCCAAATGATGGATAGACAGACACGGGGTAGCCGACTGACAGAATGAACCTCGCCCACAGAGACCTCGACTCACCCGCGAGGCTGTCTGCTGTGAGAGGCCTTTCCTCACCCCTGTCCAGGGACACTGAATGTGGATATTTACCTCTCTGGGGCTAGACAGGCCTGTCTCCCTTTCATCAGATTGCATCCCAGTTCCCACACACGTAGTCACATGTGGCCCCAGGGATCAGCTCAGGAATCCCGCGATCCCACACACATTGGGGAGGTCTCCTGCTGGGTCTGGTGCTGGTGGCTTCTGGTGCATGAGCGACAAGTAGGGGTGGGGACGGAGCCTGGAGGCCCTGAGGACTCATGCCCAGGTGGTTGGTGATGAGGCCAAAGAATGAACTGAGAGTTAGTGAAGGGGCTGAGTCCTCTGCTACTCTCCCTCCTAACCCTAAATGAAACCCCAAAACAGCCCCCACTGCCCCAGGAGAATTTGGAAATAAAGACATTGGTCATTATTATTGAAGCAGCAGGAAAAAATCTAAGGTTGTGAAGACAGCCAAGGTATGGCTGGGGACTGCGGTCTGTGTGTCGGGGAGGGGATGGTATTCAAGCAGGGGAGGCGAACTGGAGTGGTTTTCGAACCCGTGGGTTCTCTAGACTCCACACAGCTGTGAGCGCCACCTACCTGTCTGCCGTGTAGCCGATGCCCACAGAACCGATTAAAAACCCCACGTTCACGGCCGCCTGGAACAGGTCCAGCATCCAGGAGTTGGCACATACCAGGTTAAACTGTTCCGAGGCAGGAGAGAGAGAAAACGGAATCCCGTTAGAGCCCTGTCAGTCGCACGCAGCCTGCGAACTTCCCAAACCGCCTCAGTTTGGAGGAAGCTGGTCGAATGGCAGAATCCCGTTGCGTCTCGGACCATTTCATTTTCTTTACACGACCATCAGATTTGCCCCACAAATCAGATTTGGCTCAATCAGCTGAAAATGGGTCATTGGTCCATTTAAAGACAAACCCGTTTTCCCTTTTCTCATTTTTTTTTTTTTTCTGAGAGAATTTTGCTATAGGGCATGCGTGCTCACCAGACAGAGACAGAGAGACAGAAAGTGAGAAATCAGCCCCCGGGGAATGGCCACACCACAGTCCCTTCTCCATTCTCCTCTTGGGATTTTGGGCACGCACAGTACCCAGTGTGAATTTCAAGCCGCTGCGTCCAGGACTCGAACTGCAGTCGGCCATGTGGCAGTCCAGCCCCTCAACCATTATGCCACCTGCAGCCCCTTTCCTTTCTCATTTTAATATAGGGCAACGAAGAGGTGTGTGGACACGATGCACACAGTGCCCCGGGGGAGATGGGCTCGCGAGTGTGACGGGAGGGGGGCGCCGGTCCCCACGTTGGAACAAGAGGCAGGCGTATGACCAGCGAGCTGGCTTCTAGGCTGACTGTGCTGAGAGTCCCGCTCTCGCAGCCTGGGGCAGCTTTGCTCTGCTCTGGGCCTTGGTGTCCCCGGGCCACGTAGCCCTCACGTTCCGTGTGCTCTGTCCACGCGCCCCGCATTCCACACGCGTGTCTGACCACTGTGGAGTCTTCAAAGTCGGCTCCTCTCCCACACGTCAGGTCAGCACAGAGTCTTCCCACATCACGGCTCCCGTGCGTGGGCATCACGGCTCTTGTAGGGGCTCAGGAGATGACACCCCAAAGCCTGCGCTGTGGCTTGCTGAGTCTTTTGAACTCAAGGAGGTGGGAGGTCTTAAAGCACTGCAGAAGCCAGGTCTCTCTCTGCCCTTCCCCTGCCCTCTGCCTCCTGCCCTTTCTCCCCAACACAGACCACAGAAACCAGAATCCCTCTTCCCCAAGGCTGCTCATAGAAACTGGAGCCCCCCACCCCACCCTGCACCAGCCATAAAGGAAAGGACACTCTGCCTTTTCCTGGAAGCCCCTCGCAGGGGCCTGCCGGGTTACCTCCTCAGCGATCGCCGTAGATCCTACGCATTGTCCAGTCCCTTTCTGCGCCGGCCGTGACTCACTGAGCCGAAGCATAAAAACTGTTCGCCCTGGGTCTCGCGTCTTCCTCTCGGAAGGCTCACGTGTCCCATAAAGCTTCGCCCACCTCAGTCTGTTAAGCTCGTCTCTCT